CCTTAAGAAGACTTACATAGACCTGAAAGCTCACACTTTTGCACCTGAGGGAGACCTGAGCTGCCATATAGGAAGTCAGACTCTGCTAGAGAAGCCGCATGGAGAGGGCGAGGCTCTGGGACTACAGGAGAGAGAGAAAGGCCCAGCTGTCCCCTTATTCCACCGGGCCCAACCTTCCAGCCATCCCACCAAGGCACCAGACATAGCAATGAGGCCATCATGCATGTTCCAGCACTAGCCACCATGTTACTGCAGACACAAGAAAGACGCCAAGCAAGACCACAGAAAACCCATCCAGATGAACCCCAGTCAACCCATAGAGTCGTGAGAAATAATAAACTGGTTGCTGTTTTAAGCCATTATGGGGACTTCCCTGGCGGTCCAGTGGTTAGGACTCCGTGCTTTCACTGCCGAGGGCCCAGGTTCGATCCCTGGTCGGGGAACTAAGACCCCACAGGTGGCACGGTGCAGACAAAAAAAAAAGTAAGAACCATTATGTTTGGGGATGGTTTGTTATTTAGCAATAGATAACTGACAAAGCAGCAAGAGAATGAAAAGGCTTCTGACGGTGTAAGGTGATTTACTTTTTCCATCCTCTGCACAGCCAATAATACCCTTCCCATCAGTCCTCTTCCCTAACTCAGAACCACGGCAATAGAACATGACACTGCTGAGCAAGATTTCACCTTCCTGGAGACATTCTTTCAATCAGACTGCAGCTGGAACCAAGTGCCTACAAGGAACAAAGGATCCTAATAGAAACTGATGCTTGAAAGAGGTATCCAAACGCATTACTGTTGCCGCTGCGCTCCACTGACTTCTGCTGGCGAACATACGGCAGTACCTCTTCAGAGCTAACTTGCCAACAGGAGGTCAAAATGCCTTGCCTAAACACAAGGCTTACAAATTTGGGATCTTAAGTATGATGTCATGTCTTAAAATGATAAGCTGGCAAAGAAAATCAATGGCATTTTGTAAAGATGTGCACCTTCTCATGTTTACGCTACTCAAGATGAAGGTTGTAATAAGTCACCGGCTATGTCCCTTTAAAGGGAAGTTTTATAACTGAGATGAATCACAACTGCAAAAGATCAAAGTTAAAAAACATCAATGATGCCATGGGGTACTTTTTAATCTTGTAATGAGTGATGATCATGTGCTCTTATGAAGTTAGTCCAACTGCCAACGCCAGATGTGTATATTAAGAAAAGGAGTTGTTTGTGATGTGACAGCACCAGTTCAGCTGCCAGAGACAGAAAACATAGAAGGATGAAACCTTTCTGATTTTTGAGTGAAAAGCAAGTCTTGGCAGATGTGCTGATAAGCAGGGCCTCCAAGGAGGGGTACTAGTGCCAGAGCATCCTCTCTTGGACTTTGCTGCAGATAAATTGTTTATCATCAGTTCTGTACAGCTGTCCTCAGGCAGCATGAATACCTGCTCAAGCACACTTTATGGCACTTATTAGTGTTATTTACTGATGAGCAGAAATTAGTAAAGCCATCTGCAAGAAAAAAAAAATATTACCCTAGAGAACAGAATCTAGATGGTATCTATTTCCTGGAAGCGTACTCTAAGCAAAACTACAGCAAACTTCTGACACTGAAATTGATGTAATAATAGCTCATGCTTAATTAGCACTTACTACACGACAGTCACTGTGCTGTACATTTTACATACATGACATCACTGAGCATCTCTGCAGCAACTGACGAGAACGATACTATTCTTCTTCTTCTCACTAACTATTATTATTATTCTCACTTTAACAGAGGAAACTGAAGCAAAGAGAACTTAGGTAACTTGCCTACCACCACACAACTGGTAAACAGCGGAGCTGGGCTTTCAGTCCAGACAGCCTGACACAAAAGCCCACACCCTTAGTCACTATGTTACTGCTGAGTAAAGACCCAACCAGTTAACGCAGAACTTGTCCTTTTTCAAACAGCTCATCTGCCAGAAGTAGCCTGTTCGATATATACTATGGTCTTCCAAAGAAGGACTGAAATTCCATTAACAGAAATCAAGAGCACGAAACACTCAACCCCTTCAAATCACTGCAGCAATAAACAGGTGTACATTCTTTCGATGACAACCACTACTTAAAGAATTAAAATTTTGTGGGAGAAGATGCTAAAACAATTGCATTCGTTGTCTTTTTTTCTCCCCTCAGGAAAGCCTTTTTCTGAAGTCCTTCTCTGTTAACGGTCGAAAAAATAAGCCACTTTGAAGTCTAGAGCAGTGATTGGCAAACCACAACTTGTGTGTCAAATCTCACCCACCACCTGTTTTTGTAAGTAAAGTTTTATTGAAACACAGCCATAACCATCCATTTATGTATTGGTGAAGGCTGCTTTTTTTTTTTTTTTTTTTTTCTTGCGGTACGCGGGCCTCTCACTGTCGTGGCCTCTCCCGTTGCAGAGCACAGGCCCCGGATGCACAGGCTCAGCGGCCATGGCTCACGGGCCCAGCCGCTCCGCAGCATGTGGGATCTTCCCGGACCGGGGCACGAACCCGTGTCCCCTGCATCGGCAGGCGGACTCTCAACCACTGAGCCACCAGGGAAGCCCGAAGGCTGCTTTTGAGTTACATTGGCAGAGCTGAGTACCTGTGACAGAGATCGTACGGCCCAAAGGGTTGAAATCATTTACTATCTGGCACTTTACAGAAAAAGTTTGCCAACCCATGTTCTAGAGGATTCTCCATTTACCATCACATACACGAAAATCAGTCAAAATCCTATCATACTCACAGTTGAAGGAAGTTGAAAATCCTGGGCATTTTCCACACCTGGGAGTCTCAAAATTAAAGAACAAGATTGAGATGAGTGCTATACTTACAAACATTCAGTGCCCAGATGGCCAAGAGCAGGGCAGAAGGAAATAATCCAGTACAGAGAACCCAGGTTGTAGGATTAAAATGTTACTGATACCAGACCCTTCGTTACATTCAGACACTGAGTTTGACCAGTCACCTCGTGATGTCAGACAAATGACATCACATTTCCACAGATATTTTTGGATCATGAGCAATGTTACTCAGGCTGATCTAGGGTGGTGGTCTGCCACTCGACTTCTGTATCTGCTTCCCCCTCCTACCCTCAGCAGCACCCAGGTCACACAAGTACCAGCCGCCCCCTCTACCCGTAACCCTCATTGCTTTCAGGGCACTTCTCTGCCTTCACAGGGCAGTGAACCTAGCAACTATTAATTCTTCCAACAACCTCTTGGGAATGAGGTAATACTACCCTCGCTTGAAAGAGAAGTGACTTTCCCAAAGCTATTGTTCCTCCCTTTTGTCACCACTTTCAGAATGAGGCAGCACCCACCTTTCCCTGCTTCCTCTCCCAACCATCAACTCTGAGCACCAACCCGTGAACATCTGGGCACACACACACACACACACACACACACACACACACACAATGATGGTTTTTCCAAGAACTGAGAAAAGCAGCTGAGATCAGCAGGAAACATCTTTACAAGACAAGTATTAGTCGTGTTAAATGTTAAAAGACTACCATCCTGCTTTATGCATTACTAAGAGGGATGTCCCTGCCTTTCCAGGAACGCAGGGGCTAATTAGATTAAATGCTAGAAGATGTCTTCCATCCTCAGGCATCGTCCCAGATGGATGGCAGTCCAGAAAAGTCAGACAAAACCCCAAACCAGGCCAGACGGCCCTGCGCTGATCGATTCACCTGCACTGCATGACCACTAGCCCTGACAACCAGAGACTTGGGGCGACCAGAGACGTGTGTGTGGCCACAGCCTAATAGGCCATTCTCAAACTGAGCAGACAGGTCCAGCACTCCCAACGTCGGAAAATCTAGAAGAACGCCATACACATGAAAGGCGGAGAAAAGAAAAACCTCAAAGACTGGCTTTTGAGGCAGAAAACCTCCCTAGTTCAGGCAAGCAGTCAGCCTTCGTGAGATGAAACAGCGGCCAGAGGAGTGGAAGGCAACACGTGTTCCCACCGCTCAAGGACAGGCTGCCAGGGGTAGAGGCAAAACTTCACCAGCCCTTTGCTCTCGGTTTTAGGGGAAGAAGAGCTATGCCACTCTCACTGTCTAGGTAGGTGTATTGTTATATAACAAATATTTCTGCCAGCTGTCCCTCCACCACAAACCAAATTAAACTCTCCAAACACAATGGCTAGGCCTCCAATGAATTCACTCATCAAAGGCAGAGTTCTGTATGATGTTTCCATTGGCATAGAATTTTTAATGTTGTATATATCAAATAGTCTTTAATCCTTAAATATATTTAAATACTGCTCTGGTGAGTGTGTTCAAATTAGTTATGGGGGCGGGGCAGGGAAGGCAAACCTGTTTTAATTTAGGTTTAGCAGGAAGCTGATACTAGCCCAAATGGATTGTGTGCACTGCCTTAAAACGATGCTGGTTCAACCTTCTAGATGTCTCAGGAGACACATAAATCAAGGTGGATTTAAACCTGGCCTGACTCTGTTAAAGAAACTACCTGTGGCAATTACTAGAACAAGACCAAACAACAGTGTTGTAACAATCAAGCAAGTTATCCTTTGCAAATAAATTCTTTGTAATTAAGCGGTGTGCTCTTTATAAAGGGAACTGAGTGTAAAAAGTTAAAACACATTCTTAGACCATGGGAAACCCACGCAAATGCTTTTTGACTAAGCTCAGGATTTTTCAATTTATTGTTTTCTTCCTCAGCTCTCGTGGATCTGTTCTGCCTTGTCTATTGTGCCCAGTGGATGAACAGAATTTTTAGTAAAAAATTACAGCGACGGAAAGTCACAAAGTTATGTAGGGCTTAGCAATTTTGCGGCAAAGGTGAAAAGTGTAATTTGATTTTCTACTAACTGTCAAGTTCTCCTAATTGTCCCTCATAAAAATATATGCAGATAGCAAACTTGGCAAAGAAACTATGTGAAAGTAGCACTAACTTATTTGGGATAAATTCCTCACAGGGTCTCTGTAAACTCTATTCCCATTTCCAGTAGGAAGGCAAGCACTTACTTCTGGGTTCCCGGGGTCCATCCACTGTAACTTTAATAGCTCTGTGGTAGGTGGCGACTTGAGGAGGATTTGTGAAGACAGTTATGGTCAAGGTGAAACTCTTGCCTGCAGATAGAAAAGGGGAAAATCAACAGTGAATATAAAAAGACAGTACTGATGACAAAAATAGCAGTACAGATGTCCAAACTGCATTTAAGCATCACTGAAGAGGGAACAAAACAACAAGGGTCAGGACTCCTTATTCTAATGAGAAACCCTCTGATGGCCACCTTAGGGAGTTGCCAGGCTCACTGAGTGCTAAGATCAGCATCTTCACGGCGGTCCTGTGCAAGGAGGCTCCAATTCCAAAAAGTTGCTCAGTAGCAAGAGCCGTAATGAAAACAAAAACTGGACCTCTCGAAGAGGGTTCTCTTTCCCTTCAGTTTTCTCCAACATCAGGAACACATCCAAGCAGAAAATTTTAGAAGTCTTTATTTAGGATTAGGTCATGACCCCGTGAGAGAACAATAGTAAATCACTGTTGATTATGCTATTGACTTCACATGGCTTTAGCATTTCATTTGCTTAACTGCACTACACTGAGAAGATGAAAGAGGAAGGTTCTTATGGGAATCATTTTAACAGGAGCCAGTGTCTCCCGTCCTGGCCTTAATGTGCCTGTGGTATGATGATTTCATCATTACTGGAACAAAGTTTTTTTCCTCCCTGCCCACCCCTTCCTTAACATACGTCCTCACTCAGCAGCAATCTTGAAATGACTCCCTGACAGTGACTTATTTTTGGCTAAATATACATGACATCTCCCAATGTAAATATGAATACTTTCTTTTAGAGGAGGGTGTACTTCATCGAAATATTACATCTGATGTTTCAAATTAATGAGCTAAAGGTGATGAACAGAGGTTGGGGGGAAGACAGCGTGGGGGGGAGGAGTGATGGGGGGGGAGTTTAGGAGTAGATTTGGATGTTTGCTTTCTCCAGAAGAAGATACCAGACTCTGTTACCCAGACTCACTGACAGTTGTAATCAGTTAGATTTGCAACGGTTAGTCATGTCAGATAGTCAAAACTGCAAACTGTTACAAGACAGGAAGAGGTGGGCGTGAAGCAGTGACTCAATAAAACATTCAGCAATCTCAAGCCAGAGCATTCATTTAGCCTGCTCCCGGGACAGATCTTTAAAAAGCTCATTTCGTTTTGCTTTGTTTTTTGGTCAGAGACTGTTTTTCCCTTTACTGAAAGCAGAGGGTATGAAATCAAAACACAAATCTTAAACAATATGTAGCAATGCAAAGTTTAATGCAATCTTTTCAAAGCTTAATATGGAACAGGTTATATACAAGGCTTAATGTGGAACAGGTCTTTGGCTGTCAAGTCTAGTGAATGGGTTTTCTTTTCAACCCAGACCACGTAAGTTCCTAAAAAATGTTTAAGACGCATATCATTTGTTACTCTGTATATATAGCTTTAAGTCTCTTTGGCTATACTTTGGCCGAGAAAAAAAAAAAATAGGAAAGAGAGAGATGCAGGGGGAGGGGGTACAGGGAAAATGAATATTGATTAGAAACCTATTAAGTGCCAGTCGCTTCATACACATTATCTCATTTAATACTACCCAGTAAGGTTTATCACCCCCACTTCACAAATGAGGAAACCGAAGCCCAGAGAGTATTGGTAATTTAACCACACAACTAATAAGTGGAAAAAATCAGGACCTGAACCCAGGTCTTCCAGACCCTAAAATTAATGCTCTTCCTTTTAACTTTGTCAGAGAACATTTTTAGAAATTAATAGGTAATTTATTGTGACATGTGTCCCAAATAGCTCTATCAGACCAAGAAGCAAATATAAATCTACTAATGTAGTATGTCAGCCAGAATGATGAAATCATCTATTCTTAAAGTGTCACTGATATATCGTATTTCATCCATTATATATTGAATGTTACATGGATTTAAGTAATTTAATTGTCTGGTTGGGGAACAGAGGATTTATTATAAACATTAAGACTAACCAGAAGAATAAGGCATCCAGGAGTCTAAACTAGTCACAGAAAACTGAAAGTCTACAGAAATGGAGATTAGAAAGTTGAATAGGAAGCCACTGGATTCAGATCAGGACCTTAAAACAATGGGAAGTTCTGGAGGAGTGAATGGGCTGAACCCCTAGATTGAAAGTTAATTTGCATTAAACCGTAAAAAGATCCATTCTGGGTTGGGTCAACGGTCTGTGAGTCAGGATCGCATTTCTAACAGCGGCTTTGAGGGCAGTGCTTGGAAGACACTTGTCATCTGTGGCACAAATCTTCATAAATCAAGGATGTACACATCTCAATTGTCCTTAATGACTCTAAATAACCTGCTAGAGACACTGCCCATGAGTTTATATAAACCGGTTCTAACAGTATTGCTGTTTGAGACTTTTACAACGCACTTAGGATATTAAAAGGCATCGATGCTTCTTCCAAATTCAGAGGAACACCTTAGGTAGGAACAAAAGCCAAATATAAAATTCACCCTCCAAGATAAAGCATCTAAATGTTCAAAACAGAACCAGTTTTCTATAAAGACCTCTTTTAAAAAGAGGTGGGTTTGGGGGAAAGGAAACAAGTATTTGAGTCCGACGGCGGTCTTCTAAAATCCAATCCTAAGGATCAAGATGTACTTTAACAACTAAAACAAAAACCAAGGAGGTTCCTTCCACTTCTCATTGCCCCTTCAGAAGGAACATGAACGTAATGTTCAAGAAACTTCCACCCAACTAGGTAATTTGTTCTTCCCCCTATAAACAGTGATACATTTCGTAAGTCAAATGTTTATATGTATATTCATGACTTCCTTAAATTAAAAAAAAAAACTCCAAATCCCATTGTTTATTACTTTCCATAATAAGCGATAAAAATGCAGGCTCTTAAGGAGCTAGCGCTCATTAGACAACTAATTGTAGCATCCTTGGCTTCATCTAGGAACTAGTTCTGCAATGTGTCCACAAGTCATATATTTTCTGAGATACACATAGGAACTGTCATTGAAAGACAATTCCAACCTAGCCCAAGGGGCTGTCAGAAATTGTCGGGAAAGTTAAGATTATAAGCAGGGATTGTATCCTAAATTGACAAGTACTATGCTCTGTACACTGCAGGTGCTTAGAAGTGCTTGTAAATTAAAAGCAACATGCTTGATGTCAAAAGTGAGGAAACACACCAAGAAAACTTAAGGACCAAAGTCACTTTAAATACTTCTGTTTAAAATATAAAGGAGAAAAAAGGAAAAGACAATTTAAAAATATAAGCCACTCCTCACTTAATGCAAGTTTCACCGATGCTCTACTTTTATTCCAAAGTACTTCATAAAAGTTGTGGTCACTGGATAACCCATAATGCCAGAGTAAAGAGTGATGTGACTCCCTTATAAATCAAAAACTGCTTTGCAATTTCTGAGAGTTTATATTTCTACCAGTGAAAAAAATTGTACCATTTGAGGAACTTGGTGTTTTTTTATTTTTTAATGCTACTGAAATAGAAAATTTAAATAGCTGGGGAAAAAATACAATGGTAGCAGCATGTTGACCCACACTTAAAAACCTGAGAGAAATGTAGAAGTGTGAAAATCAAAGAGGAAGCTGGAAAAAGTCTGTTAGAAAGCAGGTCAGGTACACCGGCAGGTTAAAGGGTTTCCTGCCACTGAAGAACTGACCCATTTTTTTTTTTCAAAGAGTGGTATCTCTTGTCAGTATTCTCTGTCCTTTTTTCCTCTTCATTTCAGCTTGATATTACTGTTTCCTTTCATATAATGTTAATGTCATGATATAAAAATCTATTATTAGTGATAAATCAATTTTTCTTTCTCTCTCCACCCGCTCCCCCCACTCCCAATCTAAGTCTCGAAGACAAGTCTGGACCAATTTCTCCATCCTGCCTCTGGCAGCAAACTGTAGCATTTCAGATCCTCCACCAAGTCCCGGCTGCTTCAAAGGAAAAATCCTACTTTCTTCAGTTAAGATCATAAGAAATATAGGGGGAGGGGGTCAGCTCTGTTTGGACATAATTACACTTCATCAAAAGAAGCTTTCTTCATCTTCCATGCGTGAAAAGTCTGCAAGCAGTTAAGTCTGTCTTTTTTTTTTAAATATAAAAATTGCTAGTTGGGAAACCAGCCAAAACTCAGAAAGCCAATATAGTAAAACAGTGCACACCCTTTGTTTCTCTTTGAAGTTTCTTAAATAAATATGTTGAGGGTTTACAAAGTACACTATCACTTTGCCATAGTTTCTACTCAAATTGATCAGAGAAAAGTTATAGAGCATCTATATAATACAAAAGCAAGATAAATGAAAACACTAGTTTTTATCTGTAAAATGAAGTATAGCGCCCAGTCTTTTAAATACTAAAATTCATTACTCTAGTTCAAAACAAAGTAATATTACATAAGGAGAAAGATGCAACTCAGAGCATACAGGTACATCATCGTGTTCAATTTTTTCTTGATTCTTAATAGAAAAAAGAAATTTTAATTGTACTGTGGACCTGCACCAGTAACTGAGAAAAAAAAAAAGTGAATACACACACATACACACTTCACACCTCATCAGTCAACAGTGAGACAGAATGTGTCTTTTTTTTTCTTTTAATGAAAGTGAACTAAACCTGATGCTGAGATAACCCCTTGAGTTTTGATTCTACCAGAGGCTCTGAGCCTCATTTTATTTCAAACCTTTCAGTAACAGTATCTCATTAGCATGCATCATTTTTTTTTAAGTTAAAAAGTACAACTTCTTGGCCCTGTTCCTAGAAAGTACACTAAAACTACTCATCGGAAACAGCCTTGCCTGAACTTCCCTTATCAAGTTTTTACAATGGTAATAATTTGACATCTGATCCAAACTAAAGGGCAATTATTGGACATGGTTTAAAAATTGATGCTTCTTATTTCCTAATTCAAACCTGGGTTGAAGTCACCCCATAGGTCTTTATAATTTATTTCACCCCAGTCCTAAAGTGGTCTATTTTCTCTCTTCTCATCGAAATACTTAACATGGAAATATTAGATTCAATCAATAAATAAATGAACATAATGCTTCTAATGAATGATGATTAAAAGTCTCTCTATAGAATAAGTAAATAAAAGCCAAATATTGGTTTTCTCTGAGACTTTTTTAAGAACATTAACCCCATTTATAAAACAGCTATAAAAACCCCAAAAGGGATTATTTTCTGTTTTATGATCTTTTGATGGATTCCTAATATTTGAATGGGCGTGTGGATGGTGGAAACTCTTAAATAATGTACAAATATTTAGAGTCCTGATCATTCATCTACATAGTCATACTAACATAAGTAACACCTTATTCACTTATTCGAATGAAAAGCCTTCTGTAAAAAACCATGATTTTTAAATAGGTTCTTATAGAAGTAAATTAAATCCTATAGAGGTAACATATGTGATAAGTGAAGAGCATTATGCTTGCTGTCCTTGCTACAACTTCGAGCAAAATTGATATTATCAGGAAATTGATCCAATGCATTCCCTTTTCTTTGCCCTTTGCCACTGAATGTACTCAGTTACTTGGCTCCTGTAACTCAGAACTTGAACCTCCAACTGTTCTTCCCTCCACCTTATATGTTCACACCCAGTGAAATTAGGAACTGGTTCTTCTGAAAACACTGTTTGAATTTTCAATATCATAAAACAAATGAAAAAGGCCTGAGTACTCACTAAAACACTCAACCTCATCTGGACGTATTTAAAGAAAACCTTTAGTAATTCTATTCGGTAGAAGGTACTGATTTGAATACAGACAGGCCTACATTTCATCAGAGGATCCTAATGTGTTTATTCCATTATCCATATTAAAAATCAGAGACCTACCTCGTCCACTCCGGCCCACAAATCTCAGATCGTTGAACCTTGCTACTTGGTTTTTCATAACAGCAGAGGCATTTCGGAGCTCAGCAGAATAATTTTCATCATTACCCGCCATGACGGTAACCACAGTCCCATCTGGTACCTCTCCGAGGGCTACCACCTACATAAAAAAGGAAACACAGCAACAATAATGGCACATCAGAAAAGCTTAAAAACTGAGAATATAGTCTCATGGTAAATGATGCATCTTATCAGGACTTAGTGCTCTAGTCCAGTAATGGCAGACAGGAATGAGGCATCTGCATATGGGTTCGGATGCCACTTCAAAGAGACCAGTGTTTCAGGGTCCACCCATTCCAAAGGCAGGCAAAAGTTTCCTTCATTTGTTGTTGGATTCTTCACAGAATGCATGTACATTTTTATTAAATCCCCATGTTAAGCTGTCCATAGGAATTATGCCACAGAAGGAAAGCTGATGCCCCATCTGCAGATTGCATCGTACATATTAAGGCACCGCCTGTCTGCAGCCTGGAGCGCCCTGAGGTGTGGTCTCATCCAGATCACAGGCCAAAAAAAAAAAAAAAAAAGGAAGTCTGGTCAGCTTTATGGGAGAAGATATTGAGGGGAAACCTTACAGTTACTGACTACAGGGAAGACTAAATATAGTGTGGTATCCAGAACTACATTTCATCTCCTTACTTTGAGCTAGATATTCAGCTTTCAATCACACTGCAAAGAACTACTGAATGCCCACTCTGCAGTGGGACCCATGGAATATACAAAGCCATCAAGAAGCCTAAAGTCTAGGTACAGGATAAAGATATATAAGAGGCTGAAAATGACCACCGACAAATGACTGGTATAGACAGAAAATACACCCTTAGCCAAACTTCTGTCTTGTCCCATCTGCCATCTTGGAATGACACACTTGCCTCCTTAATCTTCAACAATTAACCTGCAGCCGATTAACTTCGGCAAGTCAGGATCCAGAATAATCAGTCTTTGAGTCTAATAAACATTTTCACTGCTGCAAGGCATGGATCACACTCCAGGGTTGGCTAACTTGCAAATTGGTGCCTCTGATTAACATGGAGCCCGGAAGGGAATGCCGGTGCAGAGTCTTTGCTGTCATATATAAAACACACTATTCTTAATCCATGAATTAAGGCCTTGCTCCTTGATAACATCCTTTCTCTCAACTAACTTCCAGGATCCTATAATATTCAGATGAGTTCCATCTCTTGCTCGTTCGGCTTCCAGATGCCCATGTGGTGACTAAGCCACAGCTCTGGCTACAGTAGCCCCACTACCCTCCAATGACAATATCCATGTGTGCTTGCCTGTCTGGCAAATATTACCCTCATCCTTCTGCTACTCCCTCTCTTGTCAAGATGTCCATAAGGCAAACCAAAGCATTTAATTCCATGCTCCCAATACAATTTGTACGTAACTCTCATTAAAGCAGATTCTTTACAATGTCATGAAACAGACATTATCACTACACTTTAGAGCTGCATTTCCCTCACCCTTGAACCCTACCCTAGCACCCCTCCACTATACCCTCTGCTCAAGCCAGGGAAACAGCCAAACAAACAAACTTGTCAATATTTTTTTCACCCTTACTGTTCTCTTAGGCTGTTCCATTCCTTCTTTAGCACTTTGTTATTCAGTTTAAAACCTTAAAGCCGTCCTTAAATTACAGAAACCACTTCCTGAGCATCCCACTGGACTCAAATGATCCTCATTTCAAAGTACGTATAGGAATGACCATTCTACTCCTTTTGATATGCTAGCCCAAAGCCATGAGACTCCCTCTTAGGAGCCCAGATTATATTAGACTAGAAATTACACAAGGGCCTTCATCTGTCTTGTTCACCACTATACACCCAGCTCCCGAAACAGTGCCTGGCACAGAGTAAGTGTTTGATAAACATTTTTGAAATAAATAAATGAAAGAGCTCCACAAAGAGCACCACTTCCCACTGCCAACAGTCCATGAGAGAACCAGTTAAAGGTTGAGTCAGCATCCCCAGCTAGCAGCAATATGCCCTTGCTCCAAACCAGTTTTCTGACAACTTTTTCCATCCCAGAAGAGAGGGACTCATGCCCACTATCCTTTACCCGGAATATACGGTTACTCTGTTCAATGTGAGAAGTCTCCCAGGTCAAGGGTAAATCCCTTGAGAACATGACTTCCTTCCTGCATACTTGACCTAGGGCCTCAAGTGGCTGCTGAACACAGGTAACGCTGTACCCCTGATAGGGGCAATGTACTTTTCAACTTTTTGAATTCACAATGCCAAAAATGTGCACATTTGAAAAATACTGAAATACTGAAAAAACTGACTGTCTGCCAGTATTCATCTGAATGTTTGACATTTTTTACACTCAGCATATTGTGTTTTAACACCTGCTGTGAGGCTTTCTATGTCAAAGTAAATATGGAACCAGTAAGTGCACTAATGAAGGTAGAAAAGTTGTACTGTTTAGAAGAGAATTAATGCACCAAAAATCAAGAGGCCCCACTTCTCCCCCACCTCTGTTACACATCTGCTATGATCTCAAGTAACTTCATCTCCTGAAACTACCGTTTTCCAATATAAATTGGAAATCATTTTTTTAAAGTCTGTAAAATGTAGAAGATACTATATAAGTATAGAGTACGATTATAATCATGTACTTTTTGTAAGATGAGCAAGCTAACTTCTGTTCCAAGTCAGCTGTGTGCTAAACACAGGCTTTTACTTATAAGCTTCCTTAAAGGGTTCAATTGAATATGTAATTCTTTACTTCATGTCCTGAGATGTTTTTTGGTGTTGTTGAGAGATACAGGAGGACTGCTGATGGGTTTCACTCCAGGCTGGCTAAATTTCATTTAAAAAAAGTGAAGAAATCTGCCCCAATATAAAGATTTTTAAGAGCTCTGGGACATTATTATTTTACTGCATATTTTTAACATAATGGATTTTTTTTAGTTAGAAGAAAAGGAAAATTGATTCAATATGGGAAAATACAAAAGAAAAGATCCCTAAGCGTGAAATACATAAATCCATTTTTCTTTGCTTAAGCAGTATAATTAAATATTAAATATTGGTATGTTTTATGCATTACATTTAATAACAAAACAAATAAGTCATCACAAAATGTGTGAGTCTTCTATGAGGCTTACAACTTGGCCCGGAAAAAAAAAATTGCTAACTAACAAGATATAGTGACAACTTTTCCTGTTATGGCTGAATTCTATTTTAATGGCTAAATATATTGGTTCTTTCTGCTATTCACTCTACCAAAGCAGATTGCCTAATGTTTTTCTGAGGAAAAAAGGGGGGATAAGAAGTAATGTATGTGACTTTATATCAATCAGAAGTGTAATTATATGTCTGAGGGTTTAAACAAAAAGTAGATCTCTGAAGCTAAAAAGTTTCCCTTGGAGATTCTCGACTGTGTTTATCTAAAAGAAAACCAAAAGAATCAAGAAATTTTTACACATTTCATCTGTACCAAACCCAAGCAATGGAAAACACTTCAACGGGTAGAGAGTAGTCAAAAATCGCCCTTTAACTAGTTAGGAGTTAGCACGCATTAAAATTTGTTTCCACACTACCCAATACAAAAAGTTGTTCTGCAAAGAATAATTTGTGACGAAAACTTGACAGTTACTTTTCTAGGTGCTTTTAACATATGAAATCTACAAATTCAAGAAACTTCATGGGGAAGAGGGAAGTAATTTTGTGTCCTGACATTTTAGAATAGAGAAAGAAGTTCCTTTATTTAGCACACCTCATTATAACTAGCATTTAAATCACATGATACGGAGCTTGTGCAAAATAAAGTAAAAGAATATTTAACTCTAGAAACGCTATTGAAAATTTTTATGAGACTCCCTACGACTAAATCTGTGAGTTACTCTGAAAGAGGAACAACAGAGAATTAACTCAGGCCCTTAAAATTGTTTTTGTGGTCTTATTATATGGAAATTTAAATTGCCTATGACATTTCCACGTACAGAAGTCTAGTCTTCGCTAATCAATTACTCTTACAGACCAATATCACTGGGCACACTGCACTTGCAGCAAAACTGAAATATAATTATTTTTCAAGATAGAATCTTATCAAATCTTTCTTTGGAATACAAAGAGAGGTAAGGGAGTAATTGCAAAAAGGAAAAGTTTTATTTCTATGATAATTATTTAAAGATAACTTTAACTATCAAAAAGTTTCACAAATATTAGTTACTTCTTAGAATCTAACTTAGAATTTAGAAAAACCTGGTTGAATTGTAGAGAAAAGAGTAAATACAATATAAAATATCATTTCATAATTTTTAAAATACATGTCAAAGAGAAATTTGATGGAAATTACTTCAATTTAAGCCAGAAACTTATGAGCCATGTATCAAGCTGGTTTAGATCATCTAACAATGGATATTCTGGAATTTTGAAAGGATACAAACAGCAATGCCAATGGGGAGAAAATAATGAACGATACTTTACTATGCCTGTTTTCAAATATAAGTTTTCTAAAATTTCTGAGTGTTTATTTTCCATCTAAAATTATTTGTTTCCATTAACTTACCAGTAAGTTTTATATACTCAATCCTAAAATTTTTAACTTTAAATAATTTTTATTGCATTTACAGGCATAACACAAAAATGTGTCTGTCTTTACATAACTTGAGATCTATTATGATTTACATAATTTTGCACAGCAACTCATAGTAGGTTTAGCGAAGTTTTAACAGGTTTAATAACCTGTTTTTCTTTGTTTAGGTAAAATTACATTAAAAAAGACACAAACATAAAATCTGATCATTAAACATGTAAGGAAACTACAACTCATTATGTCAAATAGTTATTAGCTGCATACTTGCTTATGAAGAGAAAAATAGCCAATGATGTTGAAAAATTATTTTCAAATAGAAATTGCTCCATCATTTTGAAACCCTACTTATGACAAATACTGAAAGGTATCATTAAACATGCAGAATTAACTATGAGCAATAGATCATATATCTAAAACTGTGTTTTTTTTCTTTAACATTGCCAGAAAAACATATGATACTGGTAAATATATAGTCCAGCGTTTGCTAACTTAAAACAGTGCAATAGTCTTACACTACTTTTAGCTTTAAAATATACATCTGGACTTAAATTTTCTGCATAGTGTTTCAGCTTGAAGCTATTTAAAGCAGCTGAGTTATGAACCCTGAACACCAGGCTTCAGGGTGGAAATGCTGACAGACCCCTAACTTACAAGGGTGCTACTGGATACAGGGCTAACATGTTCTCTCCACTATTTCTACCTGACCATTAACTAATGAGCTGAATTTGCGTATTGCTTTTTCATCACTACAGTTACCTAGGACAGAAAGGGCCTAGGATCTTCTAATAGTATGCCTTAACTATTTTAAGCTTTCAGTGAGATACACCTGAGAGAAAGGTTAAAAATATTTATTTCCATTTCCTTGACACCTGGGAGCACTGAACATTTCAAAACTGCAGAACTTTGTTAAAAATATAACTCTAATAAACAGCTTGGTGTATTTTAAAGTACACAAGTTGTTTTTGCACTTTTACATGTCAGAGTATAAATGAATTAACTACTTTCGTATAATCCTAAAACAAGATCAGATGAACAGCTCTAATACATGACATGTCTTAATACAATACATTGCCAATATCATTCTGAAGTGCTGTTTTAAGTTAACGTATCACAACACAGTCTACTGAATGCATTTCTGATTCTCTACCTTGCCGAGCTCAGTGTCACGGACATAAAATATGAGCTCAATAAATATTATATTGATTCGAATACCAGACTTCTCAACAATTAAGTCCTGTGTTAAATATATTTACCTGTCTGCTATCTACCTAACAACATTATAATTTACTGTGTACATAGCTCTAAATATGACAGCCAAATTGCTGTCACCACTTTTAAAACTGAGACTTCTTCATATTACTTCTTCTTTGCACATGTATTTGATTATGTTGCAAGAGTCTAGAAAGTCTACAGCTCACAGGCTTTTATCTTGAAAGTAAGGTAAAAAGAGGTTGTTTTTACTAACATTCAGATGAAAACAAAAAAATTATTGTCAAAATCTGGATGTTCCAAATGTCTACACATGTTTTCAACAGAGACAAAACTTCTATACTGAGTGGCTCTCAGCTGTCGCCCGCTATTTGAATTTTGTTAAACACAGGTAAGGGGGTGGGAAAACATGAAAGTCAAGTTTTTGGTTAACTCAATTTAACTTTCAATTAATATGAATTAAAACATTCAATTTAATATGGCCGTGTGTTATCTATGGTCTTGTTTACTGGTTAAAAGTAAACAATCTGTAATTAAAAATAAGTATGATGAATGGCAGAGAAAGCAATTTATTTTTAAAATAATTTTAAAAGGGTGGTAGTGAGAAAACCTGAAGATAGCCAAATTATCTGAGAATAGCTTTAACTAAATTGTATTCTATCTTTATGCCAAAAACATCCTTTCTATCCAAAATATTAACGCTCAGAATCAATTCAGCACCATATATGTAAGAGTATAGTTCAAGACAGTTATACCTTAAACATGTTTAGCAGGATAAACGGAATGTAGAACATCAGACATCTAAATGACATATTTTAAAAGTGTAGGCACCTATCCTTAATTTTTTCATACCCTAACTTGTGGCATTTTATATATAAAATATCTATTTATTTGTATTATTTGCTGTTTTCATCAAGTGTTTTTTTTTTGTTTGTGTCTTAAGGGGTTGGGGGGGGCGTGGAAGCAAATTTCCGCTCTCACATAAGGCCAATTAGAAAATTCTGGGCCCTTGGAGGATGAATTGTAAAAGATATCTCTCATGTGAAAATCCAAATTTCTACGATTCGCCTATACTCTGAGCTTTTCATATTTCAAGGAAGAAAAGCTTAACCTACAAAATGGGTGGTTTATAAAAGGAGAAATGGGACGGTTAAAACACACACACATTTCTTGAGCCAGCTACAAAATGAAACTTGCCCCAGAATGCAACATCCCCTTTCCATAACAATTCGTTCGATTTCTGTTCTGATACAAGACATAGCGAGATAACCAGCTCTAATTGACCTGGACTCCTCTTTCTTTCCACGCCACCCACGCACGTAATCTGAATTGGTGCGCGTGGGGAGGGGGTGGTCAACAACCGGGAACTGCCAGTGGCCCGTGGGAGTTTGGCCCCAGGGTCCACAAGGGAGGAACTGGCAGGATTCCTCTCTTCCCCCCCTCCCCCCAAGGCCTGGCTAACCCTGCTCTCCACAATCCCAGAACCCAGGGGACCCAGGCCCACCTTCGCGGGTTCAGAGGCTAAACAGGGCCGTAAGCATCTTCCTGGGAGCGCTCTCGTCCCTGTCTGGCTCACCGCCCCCTCCATCCCAGGCGCCTAGTCCCGAGAGGGAGCACGGCCCGGGACCCCATCTCCCCAGCAACCTGGGACGCTCCCGGCCCTGCGGGCTCCGCGAGGGGACGAGGGCTGCCCGAGGGATCCCGATTGCCTTACGGAGAGACTCCGGACCCTACACCCTCAACCTGCGGAGCCGGTGCCCACGACTCCAGCTGCTGAGACCCGCCCTCAAACTAACGGGCCGGGAGGGCGGAGGAGGCCGCGAGGCGCGCGCAGGGCGCTCTCCAGCCCGGGAGTCACTCCCTCGGCGCCCGGGCCACGGGCCCGAGCCTCCCACGACCTCTCAGAAACGGGAGGGACCTTTGGGGTCTGAGTCCTTAAAAGTAAGAATAAGGCGAATCGCACAATATCACCTCAGTTTTCAAGGCGGGCGAGCCGAAGGCATTTCACAGGTTTCCCTTCTCCCTCCCGGGCGCAGCGAGGCGGGGAGCGGGTCCGGGTGGAAGAGGCGGCCGGAGCCCCCGCCCCCTCCACTGGCCCGCGCCGCCTTGCACTTGAGGGTCCGGCGCCGGGGACTCCCGGACTCCCCCGCCTCCGGGCGCGCGGCGACCCCTGCAGCCCCGCCTTCCTCCCGGTAGCGGGAAGGGGCGCGGGTCTGCAGACGGAGAAAACGCCCCCGTCCTGTCTGCCCCTCACTGGCTCCCTGAGTCCCTAGGTTCGCCCGGGACCCTCTCGGATACTGATAATGCGGCCCACGCGCCGCAGCCAGCAGCCGGCACGCGGCGCCCCGCCCCGGGCGCAAACGCCCGGCGCCGGCACCCCACCAACACCGGCCCCCGAGTCCGGGAGGGGCCGGAGCCGCCGAGGCGCAAGCGGGTCAGAGAAGGGGGTGCCGAGACGGGCGGAGAGCGTTCGGTTGGGAAGGGAAGAGCGCGGAATCCCGGGGAGGGGCGGCGCGGCGGCCCGCGGTGCGGGCCCGGCCGGGATGCCGGGGAAGGGGACGCGGGAGTCTCGGGGGAGAACGCCGGGGATCCTCGCTCTTGGGGAGTGGGGGCGGGGTGGAGCACGTCCCGGCGGCGCCGACGAGAGTGGGCACCTGGGGGCTCCTGGGGGAGGGGAGACCGCTCAGAGGAGTGGGTCGGGAAGTTGGCCGGAAGGCTCCAGGGGTGATGAACGGATAAAGGGGACAAGGGCTGAAGTGGTGGCTACGGGCACAGGTGGGAGAGGGAAGGATCTGCGCGGGGTCACTAAGCCCCGAGCCCGCTGTGGGATCCGGAGGAAGAGGGCCACACGGGGGTCCCTCGGGTCAGAGCCACCGAGGTAGGAGCCTTGGAGGCCGTCCGAGTCAGGGGCCCGGCCCCCGTGGGCTTGGAAACGCCGGCGGGCAGGTCCAGCGGCGCCCGGCCGGGGGCGGGGAGCGGGGGGCGGCCGCAGCTTCTTACCTTGAAGGCCACGGGCAGGGTCTTGTTGCAACGCCAGTGCGAGGGCAGCACGGAGCACAGGAAGTTGGGGCTGTCGGTGCGGACGAGTTCAGCCGGGTGGTCAGCGATGATCTCCACCATGGTGCGGTTGTCGTGCGGCGGCCGCAACCGGGGCACCGCGGCCGCCGCCGCCGCCGCCGCCGCCGCCGCCGCCGCCGCCGCCGCCGCCTCCTGCTGCTGCTGCTGCTGCTGCTGTTGCTGCTGCTGCTGTTGCTGCTGCTGCTGTTGCTGCTGCTGCTGCTGCTGTTGCGCAGCCACCACCGGGCTCACGTCGCTCATCTTGCCGGGCTGCAGGCTGCTGGAGGGGGGGCTGAAGCGCCGGCTGGTGCTCGGATCTACGGGAATACGCATCACAACAGCCACAAGTTAGCGAAGTGGCCGGGGGAGGGGGAGGAGGGTGGAAATGAGGGGCGAGGAGGAGGAAATTGGGGGGGTGGAGGCGAGACGGGGGAAAGGGGCTGGAGGTGATGGGGCTGAGGAGGTGAGAAATCAAGTTCGATGAAGCCGACTGCCGGGCGGAGTCTGACGGGAGCCAGAGGTGGCGGTGCGGAGCAATCGGGTTGGCGGGTGGGGAGACCCGGGAGGCGCAGATCTTGCCGGAGCCTTTGGAACACCCGGGGTGGCAGCTGCGAACGGGCACCGGGATGTGTTTGGCCCGGGGAGGCGGGAGGCTTCAGTTTGCAGCAGCTTGTAGTGGGGTCCCGTGGGGCACCGCGTCCTGGGTGCGCTGGCGCCCCCTCCCAGTTCGAGTCCGGCGGTGGGGCCGAGTGGGTTCAGCAGTCCAGCCCCGAGGCCAGCATCGCCGCGCGCTGCCCGCCACCGCCGCTCCGCGCCGCGCGCTGCTGCCCAGCTGCAGGCGTCCGCGCCGCCGCCCGCCCGCCCGCGCCGCTGCCGCCGCCGCCGCCTCCTCCGCGGCGGCCGCCGCTCCCCCCGCGCCGGCTGCACACTCAGATTCCTCCCGCGGCGGCTGCCAGCCCGGCTCCCCGGCTCGGCTCCTTCCTTTCCCTTCTCCTCTTCTCGCCCTCTCACCGCCACCTCCTCGCATCCACTCTCTCCTGCTCTTTGCAAAGCACCCCTGACCCTCGTGCTTCGAGGTGCCAGGAGGTAAGTCGCGGGCAGCGGATCTCGGGGCAACGGATCTCGAGCCTGCGAATCGCAGCCGCTGCCGCCGCCCGCCGGCCGCGAGAAGGAGCCCCCGGGGCGCCGCGCGCAGCTTCGGAAGCCGAGAGAGGCGGCCCCGGTCTACGGGGATCTCGCCTGGTCGCGTCCTCTTGCTTCTCGCCTCCTCCCCCCAAGACAAGGAACCCCCTCTTGGTCGGAGGAGGTTGAAGCTGAGACGCCAGAGAGCCGCCGGCTGATCTGACTGTCGTTATTTTTCGTTGTAACTTCAGGAGAGGAGGAAGGAAAATTCTTGAGCGTCTGTGCTGACTTCTCAGCTCTCTTCACCCTTCCCCCACCCTACCCCCCCTCCACCTCTGCCGGAGCGGCTCCCGAGGGAAAAAAAGATTTTGCAGGGTTTGGGTGGGGTTTTTTTGTTTTGTTTTGTTTTTGTTTTTTACTTAAGTGACACAAAAAATTGGGATGGAGGGGACACTTGTCAAAATACTTTTCAGAAACTCAAGTGGGTGGCTGGACACTTTTTTCTTCTATATTCAGACTTGTCGTTCCTAGAGAACAAGGGTGAGTTTTTTAAGGACTGGAAAACTGTCAGCTTGATGATTAAAGTAAGTTGCAAAAACCCTCGCTGGGGGAAAACCCCAGCAGTTTTCCATGAATCTCAATCTTTTATTGTCTATTTTGCATCTAAAATTAGGTCTAATGTCTTAACTTTCTCCCCCACCACTCCCGGGGAAAAAAAATAAAACTACAGAATAAAATATTCAAAATGCTTCAATGGCTATTTATTTATGTATTTATTTCCCAATGTGGATTTAAAAAGCGACTTTGGATCCCCAAAAAAGTTGTGGTCGAGAGGATGAAGGAGCGCAGGAAAAAACGGCAGTTTTACCTAAAATGTGGTTTTTGGAGGCTGGGATTTCTAATGATTAGGTTTTTGTGGTTTATATAGACACGACTCTGGCTAAGGCGATCATTACGCTGATGAGAGTCAGAAGCACGTGGGTGTCTCCGACCAGCCTCAAACTCTGAGCCTTCAAAACAAAACAATGTGGGGCGCCCGCAGAAGCCGGGAAATCCGCTTGAGGCTATTGCACCCCTAAGAAGGGGGCACCGGGCCGTTTCCCCTCCTCGTAGTGTACTGCTACGTTCCTTGCTGTCAATCTCCTTTAAACCTCGCAAAGCTCGAAAACTTGTCTGCAAAAAGAATCATCAGTTGCCAAAGTTTCAAAGATTCCTAACAGCGTAGCTGACACTAGGCAGTAATAAGTGATTTTATAGAAGAAATGAAGTTACAGTGCCTCCTCTTCGGAGTATTCAGGAAGAAACATAGTTGAGTCATCACTCATCGCCCCCCCCATCTTACTTAAATCAATCCACGTACCCATTAATCGGCATTTTTATTGCTCAGCGCAAACGCCTCTCTCACCCCGGTAGCGACCTGCCACGACTCTCCCGCTTTTTAAAGCGTCGCTTCCACTAGCCCAGCGGGCACTTGGGGGTCTGCGCCTTTGAAGGGGCCTGGAGAGCGTTGGGGGTGCGGAAGAGGGGACCTGGTGTCTGTCAAGGTCTCTGGAGTCTATTTCAAGCGCAAGATGAACTTGGAGAGCTGTAGTTGAGTGGCTTGGGGACCAGGATTGCCCTCTAAATAGATGCTCCCTCGACTGAGGGGCCTCCAGCCGTGCGAGCGGTGGTGGGGCGGGGTGGCTCGGCGAGCGCCCTCGCGGGGGTAAGGATGCGGTCCAGGGGACACTGCTCTTTCCTCTTTGGGGCTTTAGTTTTACCTTCCCTTTCCCCATCCACAACTCCACGCGTCCCTCGTCCGGCTTTCCCTTCCCCAGTTTTCTCCCCCACGTTCCCGCCTCTCCCCAGAAATCCCCCCGCAAGACGCGAGCCTCCTCGCCGCGCCCCTCCCGCCTCCTCGGCCTTCCCACGATCGCCTGCCACCCTGGATGACTCATTCTGCATCATCCGCTGGGACACCCCCTGCCCAACCTACTCCTCGCCGCGGCCCACTGGCCTCGGAGCCCGGGCGCCCCCGGCATGCGAGGAGGACCCACTTATCCCGACGGACTTGATGCGCAGCGAGGAACGGAGCTGTCTCCTGCGCCTGTGATTTTTAATTATCTTTTCGGTCACAGGGGAGAGCTCTAACCCCGGGCACTGCCGCGCTGCCGGCGCGCGCCAGGGTCGCGTCTTCCCAACCTCACGCGGCCGACCAGCCAAGGGAAGCCAGGCTTACTCTTCCAAAAAAAAAAAAAAAGAGAGAGACCAGACTGCCTGCGTTAGTTTCCTACCTTACACCCCCGCCCCCCCCACTTAGTCACATGCACCGGAGCACACACGCCTCACACATCCCCACACTGACACATAAATACACATACACAACTCACACACAAGGCTTTTTTTTTTTTTTTTTTTTTTTTTGCCTTTTAACGAGACAGTTTTATTTTGGGCGCATTGCACCTCAGTCTATCAAAGATCTCTGACTTTTTTTTGTTGCGTTTTTGAACGTGTAGGGGCTGCAAAGGAGGAGAGAAGTTACCGGAAGCTGATTATTTCTGTGGTCAAAGGGAGATAAAAATTCAGTAACTAACATAGTCGGTGTTATGCCGCCTTCTTTGGAGTTGTCCTCTCCCACCCCCAAAAATTCAGTAACTACCATAGTCGGTGTTATGCCGCCTTCTTTGGAGTTGTCCTTCTCCCTGGAAATCCACAGAACCGGGAACTACCAGAAAATGTGTTGCTCAGTAACAGTCAATATTTCAAACATGGGCGACCAGACGGGCTTTTTTGAATAAGAACTTCTAGGGCAGTTGAACTTAAGTAACCATCACGGGGGCTTTTCCTTCCTCTTTCTTTCTCCATTGCTGTTTTGTCCGTTCTTTGTTTTACTTGGTGGATAGCAAAATATGCAGGCCTCAGTGTTTGGGTGCTTTGACTGGGGATTTTAAGGGCTATTTAATCAATGGTGAATTATTTATTTTAATTAATCATATCCGGTAATTCAGCTTTATAGCCATCCTTGGACATCCTCCCTCCATTTCACATTTCAGTGGAGCTAATATAAGCAACTCTTGGAAGTTACTAGTCTTGGATTCCTTAAAATATCCTACAGTTATTTATAATGGGGAAATGAAATTTTCCACCGAATACCCTAACAACGTTTCAGGTACCTGGCACAGCGGATTTTCAGTCTCCTTTCAAAAATATCCTCTTGCTGAACATTCACACTTTCAGCTGGAGCTGACGGAGCCTGGAACTGATGATGTCTTGGCTCAGAGTGTTATACTTAAAGGAAGAAAACATTTTTACAGACCCCTAAACTGAACCTCTCCTGGTAATAGTAGGCACAGAGGGAAACTGTGAAATTTTACATGTGTGTATTTTGTGCTATAGTTTGTATGATCTCACTCTTGGGCTTAGATTTTTTTTTTTTTCTACCCTGAAATGTTCAGAACAAATCACCCAAAAGATTTCTCTTCAGAAGCATGCCTCTTTTCTGTTGTATGTTATGGCATTAAAACACGCACACGCACACACACGTTTTTCTGAACATGTGCCTGTTCCGGAAAATATAAGCATTAATTTTCCCCTCCATCTCCTTTAACGTTTAATATAACTGTTTAGTAACAACACCTGGAAATTCTGACTTTCCAGACAAAGAAAATGAGATGTGAAACGGTCAAGTTATTTATCGGGTCAAAGAACTGAACTCCCAAAACCAAGACCAGAATCCGTGCTGCTTTCATTCAGGTTTCATCTTCTAACCACTAAATTATTTTATATATACTTTTTTCTTCATGAAAAGTGAAAAAGTCACTGTGAAATTGTAAAACAGTTTTCGATGGGCCAGCTAATAAAGTGGGACAACCTTTCAGACATGCAGTAAAAAATAATGGACATATCGATGATTGCTAAAGTTTTGAATGGTTGTATGGGAAAACTTTATAAATAGAACCATCTTTAGAGAGTTTTCCTTTGAACCGTAATTGAGTGAAAGTCACCCAGCCCTTGTAGAAGTAGCACTGCCAGTAGACCAGGTGTTGTCACACTACAGCCCACAGGCCAAATCTCGCCTGATGCCTATTTTTGTATAACCCACAAGTTAAGGATGGTTTTTGCATTTTCAAATAGTTGGGAAAAAAATTAAGAGAAGAATAATATTCATGACACATGAATCTGATGTAAATTCAAATGTCAGTGTCCACAAAGTTCTATTGGAACATGGCTTTATTCATTTAATTGTGTATTGTCTGTAGCTGCCTTCGCCTAAGAGAGCAGAATTGTGTAGTTGTGAAAAGGACTGCATGGTCTGCAAAGCCTAAAATATTTAATATCTGGGTTTTTTTTAAACAGAAAAAGTTTGCCAGTCCCTGCCCTGAAGAGAAAATGATGCAGGATTCTGGTGGAATGGATCAGCAGAAAGAAGTAGCTATTTCAGAAGATGGAAGAATTGAGTGTTTATAAGGTCCAAATTGGTTCTTTAAAAGTGAAAATTTTTTCATTTAACTTATTCTTTTCTGTATAAAATGTTAATCAGTTAGATTAGTATTTTTCACTTAATCATTTTAGATGGGCCAAAATAAAAATCAGAGAATGAGAAGTTAGTGCGTTTGCATGAGCTCTTGAAGCACCGTTGTCTTACACATCTGTATATGTCAGCATCTTCCATTATCCTTCACAGTGAGAGCACATTAACTGCATAGATGGGAAAAGAGTAAAGAAACTTCCATGTAGTCTGAACATGAAAAACAATACGTATGGCTTGCACAGGTTTATTCCATGTGCTCTACAAATGATTACACAAGAAACGTAAATGAGCTTACCAAGAATTTTCTGGTATGCAAGATTTTCACAAGTCCTATATATACTTTTAAGATAGTTAGCTTAATAACTTAAGTGATCCCAAAACTTTCTGACATATTTTTTTCATTTTAATTTTTTATACAGTTCAATACTGTATGATTTGTTGTAAGCTCTCTCAATGTTTCCCTTTGTCAATGGACCTATAATAATTTGCATGGCT